ACATTGTAAGATGCCTGGATGGACAACTATAGTAGCTGTTACCCTGTTGCAACTTTTTTTTTTGTTTTTGAAAATAAACACTGTTGGAACTTTTTGGAGCTCCTATGAGTCTTGATCAATTTGTGTTCCTGTACATTGTCACCAACAGCATGCATGTTTGCAGACTGTAGGCGTAATCTGATATTGGGTTATAAAATGAAGATAAGTTATGAACCTAGCTGAATTTATCACATATGACAGCATCAAGGAGCTGTCGAAGGAGCAGGGTGGCAGCGCTTGCAGGTGTTCAACCTCGACGAGCTCGGTAGTGCCACAAACGGCCTCAGTCACACGCTCAAGGTCGTGCACATGATACAGTATGAAGTTGTATTTCACTAAACCAATTTCAGTAATGCGTTTGTACCTTGCTGATATACCAATTTCAGTATTGGTATAAATGGAGTATTGGTGCCTATACTGATTACTAGGCCGTTTCTCAGCTTGCACATACAACTGTGTGACACAAGTTTTTTTTTTTTAGATCATGAGGGCCATTTATTAACATAACTATGCCCTCTTCCTCCATATGGTGGTGCATATATGGGAGATCCATATGGTGCTTATATATGGTAGTCCAACCTAACCATTTAGACAATCACAAATCACATATATATGAATGCAATGTATTATTTTTATTTATTAGCATAGTATTTTTTTGGCAGCCAATGATATATGGAAGAGGACCAGCACAGGCAAGAATGAGGATGATGCCGATGGTGCTTCACGATGCTCGCCTTGGCTATGTCCTGTAAGACCATTTCTCTACAACACCATCAAAGCTCAACGCATATGTGCACTTTGTGATAGCATGCTATGTTATTCTGCTGATAGGCAACAGCCTGGTGCAATGCCACCTAAGCCTCCACTGTGGTGACCGAAGAGATAGTGGCAGAGGTGGCGAAGGGCACATCCGGGATATCGCCCTTCATCCTCCCATTGCAGGTCTTATCTTATTTTATCATGCAGTGCATGTGACTTGAACTCTCTGATAGCCTTGTATTGCTTGCCGCCTTCTGGCTATACTGAACTGATGAACGAAGTGCTATAGACTCTGAAGCTTTGTTGGCTTATAATGCTTTGCCGACCTTATGTCACATGAGATAAATACATGTGGACTCAATTGAAGCTTTGGCTTAGAATGCTTATTTTGCGAGATTTTGTGCAACCTAAGATTGGAGCGTTGTTGGCCTTATTTCACAATAGAGAATTCTTGACGCGTTGAGTGTTAGTCCTGAAATTTGGTCTTCATGATCGAACCTTGTATTGACAGTGGATTTATGGATAGAAAAAAAACAAATTGAAGGCAACAGGAAATAAGAATAGTTGACCATGGACGACATAGCCTTAATTTTTTTGCCTGTTGCAACGCACGGCGCCCCTGCACACCACACCATATATGGTTGAAGGCATGTTATTATCTAAAATATGAAGAAGGGTGTTCTTGATATACCAGTCCTATATGAAGCAAACTGATAATTCAAAGAGATGGTTAGTTCTAAAAGGTTGAGGAGTAGTAGTCTTGTTATGTGGATATGAACTTTTATGTGTGTATGCACAAATGTACAGTACTATAAATACATACCTTGATGATTGCAAACCATCAATAAGAATTTTAGCCATGCGCAAAATTCAATTTGTAATATTGACATTCTGAACATCACGCTCACATTGTCATTTTTGTAACAATACAACATATTCATGCTCAAATTATTAGGGCATTATTTGTTCCCATTGCAATGCATAGAGCTAGTGACCCTGCGACGCCGTGCTTTCCGTGACCGTGTTAATTTTACGAACTTTACCTTTTGGATTAAGTATCACTTTAATGTCGGTATTTAATTTTACAATATTATTATTTTATTATGCGATCCGCGTGTTTAGTATAAAAGTTTAGTTGTCCCGTAGCAACGCACCGGCACGCTACCTAGTAACAAGAATAAAGAGGAGACACCGTTTTGTGTGACAAAAACTTCGCCTCACCTTCATACCCTCCCCCGTGCGATCGTCTCTCTACCGCGTGCGAACCAAAGGAAACATCGCCACCGCGCCCGTGTTCAAAAGGAAACATGCGTTCCAAAAGGAAACCTTCTCCAGCTCGGACGCGCCCGCGATTGGTGACCCACCGGTCGGCCGCCCGTGATCATCAAAAGGAAACATCGGCTCGACAGTTTCGCGACAATGATCGATCTTCCATGGAGGTCATCGCCATCGCCGCCATCACGCGGCCACCCTCATCCTCTGTCGTGCCCTCGCTCCACGCGCGGCCGGCTGCCGTCGTCCGCATCCGCCAATCCCCCATCATCACCCAGAGTCTGGAGCTGTCCTCACTGTCGCGTCTGGATTGGCCACCGTCATCGAACCAAGCGCGGGCACCATTATCCTCGTAGTGTTTCCTTCCTGCCCTCCCTCGTGCGAGCAGTCTCCAGGGCATGGCGCGATTGCGATCGTGATCGGAGCACCAGTCACCACCAGTCTTGATCGCTGACATTGATGCCGCATAGCACGTTGATCTCAGCGCAATCCAGAAGATCACCGTCCACTGCACCGGCTACTATACGGTTCGCTCCTTCCCTTCATCCCATAGACCTCTGATTTACTACGTTGTTCTTGGATCCACATCACTTCAGGGTTTAGAGTTAGATGCTTACAGATCCACCTCATGTAGTAGCCTCGATGAATAAGCGGCGACTCTTTTTTCCTTGGCTTTGATGCTTAGGATACGATGTTCAGTAGTAGGATTGAGATCGATCTGATCCAGAGTTGCAAGCGAACCTTGTGCACTACATAATTCGTTTCTCTTTCTTTTGTATTATGACTCACACTATCTGATATGCGGTAATTATTCGCTAACTTTTGCTTACTGCTATTCTGATTTTGTTTTCAGGAAAGGATCGTGATCTATACAAGAAATTTTGGAGGTAAACTATCAATCTATTTTCTAGATTTACATCGAAGTGTAGCGCATCAGCGGAATAGGCACGTGTACACTGATGGTAGTTCTTTTCCTGTCAGTCACTGTGTTCTGTTGCTGTTTCTTTCAGCACCAAGGTCCCTGGGCAGCAGCCATTCAGTTTCAACATTAGTCTGGGTTCAGTGATCAAAGGTAATCATGCCACATATCATCAGTTCATGTAGAGACCTAATAACTTTGCCTGTTAGTTATCTTCACGTGCATACTTAATTTGCGATTTAGCAATGGTTCCATTACCTGACCATTCTGATTGGTTCCAGTCCTGCATGTTATATTTGTCGCTCAAACCTATACTTTTGATGTTATTTATAAATGTAGCATGAACTTTACTTATCATGATGTTTTATTTCTGGTAGAGCTCCAAATTTGCGTTGTTTGTTTTATATTCTCTTTTAGCCACGGTAGTAAATTGTCAGTCATGTTTTTCTTGACGAATTAACTCAGATGAAGCCTAGAGCATTTTAGATTTTTCCAAAAGTGAGCAGTCATTGTTCAGGGCCATTCCAGTTTCATGTTGCATGCCAAAACTTCACAGGCCTGCAAAATCATGGTTTATTAGCCAAATAAACCATTCCCATTACTGTCGTGCTAATTGTTGGTTTCATTTTTTTTCAAAGCTGAGTTCCTTTGTATCTAGGAATAATGTCTGCTTTATTTTGTGTTGCTTATGCAGGGAGGACACTAGCGACAAGCAGAAGATGAGCCTCTGAGGGCTATCTGAGGAAGGTTCTAGGCTGTTCCTATGTTGTACTCAAGGTGACTATAAGTTTCCTACTGAATTTGGAGTGAGTTGATTTTTCCCTCAATTTCAAACCTAATTGCTTGGTACTTTGTCTCAAGGTGACTATCAGTTTACTACTAAATTTCTTGTGAGTTGTTTGTGCTAACTTGGTTTGGCCATCGTCGTCACCGGCCGCCAGCTGCCGAGCGCCGAGCTGCCGAGCAGCAACCGAGAAGCAGGAGGTACGTCTCGTCATCTGTATCGAACTGCTGTTAACAATAAGCCAATCAAGCAATCAGGAGTTTCTCTGCTCTGCTGTGACCTTAGACTGTCTAGCAAGATGTATTACTGTATTAGACATTGCTGGTGATCAGTGATACTGAATCTATGGTCTACGCTACAATTCAAGTTTATTTTCCCTCCTACCTACTGTTCATGGTCCGGCAATTGGATCCGGAAGTGGTTCGATGGTCGATTTCATCAGGAAAATCTATCCGCAAATTGTTTGATTGTTGATCAACGCTTAATATTTAGTGTCGCGCCTTTTTTTTGCTCTGCGTGCCTGCAGTTTGAGCGAGTAGATTGATTGGCATCTTTGTTGTACCGTAGTTAGAAATCAGCTGGTGTTGTGCCTGCACTTTGAGTGAGTAGATTGATTGATCTAATACCCGTGCGTTGGATTTTGAAGGCAAGTGCTGATTCTATGGTCTTTCTGTGTTTGAGAATTTTTTTTGGGTAAAGTCAGCTGAAACTGTGTCATGGCTTATCATCTTAGATTTTGAAGTCAAGTGATTATTTTTCTTTGAGACATCTTTGATTTCAATACTGATTTTCATTATAGCCTTTAAGTGCTAATTGCATTATTCTGGTTTGGCCATTTAATTTTTTCTTTATCTAGAAATTAGCTTCTCACGTGATGTGAAACACCTGCTGGAAGTTGCTATCCTTTTCTGATAGCCTTGAAACATGCTTTCTCAATTCGAATTTTGCCAAAGTTATCCGGTGTACTACATGTTGTGAGAGATATGTGACAGGTAGTGTTGATGGACACACCAAGGCCGACTGGTGATCAGGTACCTTTGGGGACCTTACAAATACAACACATGGAGGTATATAAACTTACACAACATCTCTACATATCTATATTCATATGTTTGCAACTCCTCACCATAATTTATTCAAGGGAATCATACCCAACTGGGGTTGGTGCGACTAGATGGGGATCCTAATGGACAAAAGAGGCAAAGGGAGAGAGAACGGTATGCAACAATGGCTGATGAAAAGAGTAGTGAAAGAAACAAGAAACGTCGTGAGAGGGATACAACAGATCAAACGGACGAAAATAGTGACTGGCTCCATATGCACTCAACCTACAATAATGGCGCCGAGCAACAATGGCTGATGAAAAGAGTAGTGAAAGAAACAAGAAATGACTACAATAATCGTGGTGACATAGTTTGCTTATTGTAAGGATCAATTTGTTTTGTATGGATTAATAACAATTTATTACGTTTAAACTTCTAGATGGGAATACAACAAATGAAAGGGACGAAAATAGTGACTGGCTCCATAGGAACTCAACCTACTGTAATGGCTTGCAACAATTATCAAGTGACTTATTTTGTAAATAAAATATTGCTTGGCGCGGCGACTGAAAGTGACATAGTTTGGTTATGGAATGGTTCAATTTGTATTGTATGGTTGTATTTGTAGACGGTCCGGTACCTTTAAGCACCATTGGTGGCACCGGTGACATGGATAACATTAACACTAGGAAGATAACAATATTGTTCATGAAATGGGTATACTTTTGTATCCATTGCCTGAGATTCTGGTGAATCGTGCATGTGTTTGTTTATTACAATTGTGCTTAGACACCATCCTAGCGTTCGTTGATTAAAGTGGCATTTCATGGCATTTACGTTCTGGATATGCACCAGGTCCGATCAACCGACTTGTCACATGTCCAAAAGAGCATAAGCGTTATCGTGATAGAGCACGAAATGATGCAATGTCTCCTGAACAAAGGGCGCTACTAATAAGAGACGGCGTGAATTGTATGCAATGAAAAATGCACCAAAAAAGTCTGCAAAGATGCTACAAATGACTCCAAAGGAGACTGCTCAGTCAACAGGTATGGTAATAAAGTTGATTTCTTTACAGCGGAAATTTCGTGGTGCTGTAGGATACTTATTATATCATTAAATTTTTAGATGGTCCTGTCCCTTTAACCATTGGAGTTCCTGGTGATATTGACGACGGTTTAACATAGACGGATATCAATACTGTTCATGAAATGGGTACGCCTTTAATCGTGGCTTTGTTTTTAATTAGAAAAAGAGTTTGAACACCAGAGTAGCTGACTCTGTTGCGTAAACTTTATTATCATAGAATTTTAATTATTGTGTGACCTTAATGGATTAGACGTTGAGACCGTGCTTTTGTATTATAATATAGGTGCTGCATCCAGTTCCATCGACAATATTGTCACGTGTCCAAAAGAGCGTAAGTGTGAGCTAGATAGAGCATGAAGGGCTACAATGTCGCCTGAACAAAAGACGCTAATAAACAAGTGGCGGCATGACTTGTATGCGGCAAAAAATGCAGCAAGAAAACTAAAAATGACTCCACAAGAGAAGAAGTTGAAACGAAAAGAGAGCAATAAAAACTACAAAATGATGGTGAGAGAACACTGAGCCAACAATTTGCATCTGGACTCAATCGCCATGGAGAGCCCTCACTTTAACCCTCAGCTTATTTTTCCTTCTTCGCCTCAATTGCCTAAAGCGCCTTCACACGATATGGAAATACCCGAATCTAGGGGCACGCCTGTTGATATCGCGCCGACTGTAATTCAAAATCTAGAAGTCCAGACCCCTAAATTGGCTACGGCACAGACCATACATAGGCATCGAGTGACCACTGGAGAGAGAAATTCCTTTCTACCCCGTCGCAATCGGGCTTTTGAAGCAAACATTGGAAGAAGGGCTAGAGGGTATGCGGATGGTAAGTGCAATGATTCGAACGACCTGACTCAACCGAGTGTGGTTTACAACGGTAATTAGCCTTGATCACTATATATTGTCGATACTTTCACCTTCGCTCTTATATTCCAAAAACTCATACCTTTTCTTACTACAGATGGTGTCACCCAGGAAGCTCCAGTTCCCCCACAATAATTGCACAGGTACATAGACACAACCATCTGTAGTTGACGGTACCTCTTCAATGCCTCCAAACACTGCACAAGCTCATACACCAGACTCTATGGTCAAGGATGGTATTTCTTTATTATATTTATCCCTTTTTTGTTCTTTTTGTATGCCATTATGTTTCTCTCATCATATATGTGGCCGTGTTGCACAGACTATAATGGGGATGTCATATTTGAGGAGGATGAGAAAGAGGATGAGGCGTACTTTTTCGCCGAACAAGGTACACCGCGTAATAGTCAAAACATTCTTTCACAAACTTTCTTTCAACGCGTAACACATCAACATTTTGTCAGAAGACGATGAGGAGGGAACTGATGTTGATCTAGATCTTGACATGGATGAGCAAGAGAATAGTGAGCCTGATGTCCTGGATCCATACGATAGGGTTTACGCTAATGTCCCGTCAGAGTCACACATGCTACCGTCGGTGCTGAACTACGAGCACTGCAACGCAAAGAAATTCAAGGGTGAACTGCCTAGATTCTGTTGTCGGGGTGGAAAGATTCATCTTTCAACTCTTGAGACACCACCAGAGCTCATGAGGTTGTGGTCAAGCTCGGACGCCGATGCTAGGCACTTTTGTGCAAACATCAGATATTTCAACGACCACTTCTCTTTCACTTCTCTGTACTGCCACCTAGATCGTGTGACCACTAACATGCAAATCTACGGTGTCTACATGTTCCGTGCCCATGGCTAGATTTACCATAACATATGATCATTTGGTAAAGAGGAGGGTGTCGAAAAGAGACACCTCGAGCTTTATTTTTATGACAATGATCCATCCCTTGAGCATTGGATGGGCAAGTGTGAAAGCTTTAGTTTGGTTTTGGTGAATTGATGAAACCCTAAGTGCTAACCTAGTTTATCTAAGTGATCATGAGATAGGTAGCACTATTCCAAGTGGTGGAGCAATGTTGAAGATCATGATGATGGTGTGACCATGGTGATGATCAAGTGCTTGGACTTGGAAAAGAAGAAAGAGAAAAACAAAAAAGCTCAAGGCAAAGGTGAAACTTGATAGGAACTTTTTGTTTTAGTGACCGAGACACTTAGCAAGTGTGATCACATTTAGGATCGATAGTTGTACTATTAAGAGGGGTGAAACTCGTATCGAAATGTGGTTATCAAAGTGCCACTAGATGCTCTAACTCATTGCATATGCATTTAGATCTTGTGGAGAGCTAACACCCTTGAAAATGTTTGTGAAAATATTCTAACACACATGCACAAGGTGATACACTTGGTGGTTGGCACATTTGAGCAAGGGTGGAGAAGTTGGTGAAGTGGAGGAGTTGGTTTTCACTTTTTTACAGTGATCAGACTCAGGCCACGAAGTGACCGGACGCTGGCCTGGTGAGTCCGGTCATTTATAGCGGTGATGGTGCTATGCTCGGTTCTTGACCGGACATAGGCAAGAGGAAGTGACTGGACGCAGAGGAGGGTGAGTCCGGTCATGCCGATGAACGCTGACGTAGGTGTCTTTACAGCACAGTGAAGACCTGACGCAGTGGCGAGTCCGGTTAGGGTGGACCTAACGCGTCGATCACTGTTTTGCCGCTCAGGGAGCTCTCTGGAAATGACCTAATGCTAGGAGGACAAGTTGATCGGCGCGTCCGGTCATCTATTGGTGGCACGCATGGTTCTGTTGATCTGATGTGGTCGTGGTGCGTCCGGTCTCGGTGCGCTGAGTCCAGTCATCACTTAACGCGCGTGGGAACGGCTACTAGCCGTTGGCATCATGTGGCTAACGTTTGATCTCAGGGTCACGTGGCCTGAATCAGTTCACCGGACGCTGGGAGTGTGAGTCCGGTCGATTTGACCAGCACGTCCGGTCAGCGCGAGGACAGTGAGGTGCAGGAGCCCAATGGCTCTATTCGTGGGGGCTCTCTATTTAAGCCCCATGGCCGGCTGAAGCTCACTCTCTTGGCCATTTGCATTGACATAGCAACCTTGTGAGCTTAGCCAAAGCCCTCCCACTTAGCTCCATCATAGATTCATTATCTTTGTGAGATTGGTTGTGAATCCACATGCATTGCCTGAATGATTGCATCTAGAGGCACTTGGTGTTCGTGTTTCGCTGTGGGATTCGCTTGTTACTCTTGGTGGTTGCCGCCACCTAGACGGCTTGGAACAGCGAGGATCGTCGAGTGGAGGTTGGTGATTGTCTTGGCTCCGATCATAGTGATTGTGAGGGGTTCTTGACCTTTCCCCGACTATCGACAAAAGATGCTCGACAGTCCTCTTATGGGTATCCCAGGAAGGTAGATTGATCGATGGAGGTGTGCGTGATCAGGAACCGGATGGTGACACAAGGCGCAGAGACAACGATTTAGACAGGTTTGGGCCTTCTGATCGATGTAATACCCTACGTCCTGTGTCTTTGGTGTATTGTATTGAGATGTAGTAGTTATCAACTAGGGGACCCTGCCTCTCCTTATATACTCTGGAGGGGTAGGGTTACAAGAAAAGTATCCTATTTGGTACTATACAATATCTTGCTGTGTACGTCAACCAGTGTTGTGCACGCCTTGATCTTGAGGGCTGGGTCGCCTCTAATGGTGCGGCCCATGTCTTGTCTTGTGGATACTAGGGGTCATATCCCCCACAGCTAGTCCCCGAGCGCCTTGTATTCATTGTGCAATGTCGTCTTGAGCTTGTCCGAGCAGGTGCGAACAAAGCCGAGTAGTCAGACTCATGGTCCGACCACCGTGATGAGCTGTCGAGCAGTTATGAACCGTCGCCGAGCAGTGTGAACCATCACCGAGTAGCGTATCCCAAGTAAGGCTTTCCATAAGGATGTAAGGAGCTCAAGTTCAAAATCTAAAAATTCTTCCACTTAGGAGAAGTGTAGCCACTTAGACTCCGTCAATAAGGAGGGTAAAACAAGAAATAAGCACTACATTCACCGCTAGGTGAAGTGTAGCCACTTAGTCCCCGAGCCTGCTGGAAGATGAAGAATGAATCTTGAAGCAGGGTCAAAGAAAAAGAAATCTAAAAGCTTGCCGATGTCATCTGACATGCGCGTATCAAGACCCCAGATGTGCTGCCCAAGATCAGCACCCTGATCCGAACAACATGGAGCAGTTTGATAGCACACCGATGAGACGTAGCAAGATTCGACCACCCAGGGAGTCCTCAGCGTAGCTGGCAACATCTAAGCACCGAGGAGTCCCCAACATAGATGGCGATGTCCGAGCACCAAGGAGTCCCTGGCATAGCTGGCGATGTCCGAGCACCGAGGAGTCCCTAGCGTAGCTGGCGATGCCCGAGCACCGAGGAGTCCCCGGCATAGTTGGCGATGTCCGAGCACCAAGGAGTCCTCGGC